TACTCTATGCTTTTCAGCCTCCCATTCAATTTAACCATGTTATGAACATATCTTTTGGAAATTGTTGTTGTTTAGAAGACAATGGGAGGGATAATTATTATCACTAACAATATGTCAAAAATAGAGAATGGATAAAAGACCGGTCATGAGGAATCGAGCCACTGGCAATGCACGTGTGGTGGATCAAAGGCCACCTAACTCCTCTCAGCTCTACAAAATCATAGTGTCCGAGGGGCAATTTAGGAGTGTGGGAGCTTATATACTCTCACCTTTTATTAGTTGTCCAATATGACACTTCTTCTTATAACCCATACATTCTTACAACTTTTCTCTTTTCTTTTCTTCCTTGACCCACTTCTTATTCATAACCCATAGAATGTGTATACAAATTCCAACAATTGTAACAATATTAATTCACTTATAAAAATATATACCACAAACATGGACCTTTCTAAGGGCAACTAGGACATATATATGCTTCAACTATTTTTTGCTTAAACTTTCGACCATGTCAGTCATAATAAGGTACCTACTGATTAGCAAATTTTCAAATTTAAACAACTAAATTAAGAACCTTAGCGAGTATAGTGATTGTTACGTGTTCAGTGATGTCAATTAGGCCTTATTTGAATCATATCCATGCGTAATGGTCGTTTTTTACTGCTCCGTCATTATAATTAGTGTTGCCAATTTCTGTCATGTTGTGCACTGGCATTGCATTGCTTCAAGTAAACAGAAATTAAAGAAATTAATATACTACAGAATAGAAATTACTATATGTTATGCAGTACTTGCTAGCTAAATATAGAAACTATATGTTATGCAGTGCCAAAACATGCAGTGGCGGAGAAAAAAATTGGAAAGTTAGTGCCAAAAATCAACTAATTATGAAAAAAGTTAGTGTCAAAATCAGCAGCTATGAAGGAAGCAAATCATTTACGGTCACCGAAAATCAAAAAAGGCTTTTGATTTTAGAAATCAGCCAGTGCCAAGACACTTGCTGGTTCCAATGTGGGTACACCGAAAATATGACAACTGAGAACATCGCACCGTTGAAAATAAAATTTAGGAGAGGGACTTTTGAAATGTTTGAGTTTCTCCTCTTGGACTAGTTTTACAAAAAAACACCAGAAATTTACAACGACTTGATGCGAATTACCCCAAAGCCCATTATAACAGGACTTAGAAAAATGTCAGTGGTGGGAAAACAATCAACTTGGACTTTGTTCAATCAGAAAGAGTAACATACCAATTGGCTCTAGAAGATGCCTTAAATACAGATCTTAAAATTCGCTATTTATATATAGATCTTAAGTAACAGGCGAAGTAAATTGATGTAGCATCATCCTTAATTGGGTGTCCATGGCAATAAAAGCTTTATCCTTTTTCCAATGTTTTTGATCTCAAAGAGTGGACATACTCTAACATCAGATTATGAAACTAGAGATTTAGAAGATTATATATATAATTAATATAAATTGTTTTCCTTGCTGAAGAAAGTTTTTGGCAACTTTCAACTTTTGGCTCAACATTGCTTTTGATGCATGATTCATGCACTAACCTATATTGTTTCGAGAAAAGAAATTGGTATATATGTTTTAATTTATTTTAAAAGCAAAGTGAAAATATAGATAAACATGGTGAATTTAAATCTCAATAAGGAACTATAATGCAAAAAGTGAAAGAAAATTACATTGAGGAAATAGTGACATGAATAACGGCTCCAAGAGGACACAAGAATTCTTCTTTCCTTGCCAAGTGGTTTTAGATTTTGGTAGACACATTGTACGGGCGTTTTGAGGAGCTAGATCATGTGAATATATCCCAAACCTTGTGGGTGGATAAGACTTAAAAATGATGGTGCTTCTAAAGGCAATCTGAAAGAAGACTAGGAGTAGGAGTGTGTGTATGTCTATGTATAATATCTTTTACGCTTACAATAGCTCTTTACTTTTACTGCAATTGAAGCAGCTGCATATTGTGCAAAATGTTTGCAACTCACTATTTCTATCGATGGCTGAGCTAGCCCATTCATGGAGTTAGAGCCAACAAAATTTTAGGTGGAGTCTAATATTAAATTTTATCTAAAAACTTGGTCGTGATTATTTAGTCACGTTTAAAATGTGATTAATTTTCAAATTTTAACTCCAGTCAAGACTCCACCCTATCTCTAACTGCACGAGTCCTATTATTATTAGGCGAAATCGTTTCTTATGTTACAGCTAATTTTTTCTCTCTTGTCTTAGAAATATTGTTATGGTGGATCCCACCATTTTCGTGAAAACAAAAAAAAACTTAAAAAAAAAAAATTCATCATGAGATAACAGGAGATGACTTCTCCCCCAACTACTACGGGAGAAAATCATCTCCCTTATTATTATTATTATTACTATTTCTTTTTCTATTTCCTTTGTTAACGGCACCTACTCCAAACGAAGTTCTAAGAAATAGATTTCCAAAGTCAAATAATGGATCATAGAGGATTTCACCAACTCAAAACATAAGTATGAATTAAACATCATATACACAAGTTCACCATGTTAGCCTCCATCAGAGGACGTGGTTAAAACTCCATACCATATTTGATTGTGCTCATCAACTTACTTCCATCGAATTGATCCTGCAGCCTTTACAGGAAGAGTGTTGTGGCAGTGAAAGAAATGGGAGTTAAAGGAGAACTAACCTTGTCTTTGGCAACTCAACCATATATATATATATATATATATATATTATATAGTATCAATTGCAATGTAATTGATTAACTTGGTGGTTGCAATAAATGTGTTCAGTTATTGCTTTTGCTTGTATCGTGTTTAATAATCATCTTCTAAAACTAGTTGTTTGTAATTGGAGGCATCACAGATGGGGGGACATAAAGAGCGTCTGTGTTCAATGTTTCAGAGCAAAGCCCACATAGAGTAGTGTATTAAGTTAAAGTAAAGTAGTTACAATATAAAAAGGAAGTGCTTCTACTGCATAAGATAAGAGGAGCTGTTTGGTGAGCACAGAGTAAACTAACTACTCTTGGGCCTTTTACTAAACTAACTATTTTTGGAAGAGTGAAGGATATACTTTTTTTCCAGTTGCAAAGGAGGAAATATATTGGTAGACATGTCTTTATAAATATATTTCCTCATTTGACACTTGAGAAAAATATATTCTAAAAAATATGTTCTAAAGTTTTCATGCTATTAAACGACAAAAATTAAATTAAATTTCTTGGAATTATTGGTTTTTGATTATAATTGCATAAATATCATGAACTAATATTTTTAAAAGTTTAAGCTTATTAAACTAAGACAGAAAACCATTTAAAACTATTTTAACCAGTTGATCAATTAGTTGAAAAAGCTTTTATAATGTGCCTTGAATCAATTTTTTTTATTTTTTTTTTGTATTACTGAATCAAAATTTTCAAAAAACTAAACTAGTAAGAAAGCCCGTAAATATTTTATGAAAACTCTTAATAAACCTAATAAAATTTTGATATTGTAAGATAGAATAAGTTATATTATCTATCTTACCTATTATTTTGTGTCACTGTTATATTAGAACATCAACTAATCTATATTATTTTTCTTTACTCTTAAAATTCTTATATAACAGTGTAAAAAAAGTATAACAACTCATTCCAAATAAGATATATATGATATTTATACAGTGGTAATTTTTAATATTATTGAACCGGAAAATTTGATATTTTTAAAAATAAATATTTAAGTTTGTTCGAGCTAGGTTTAATTTGTCTCAAATCCAATTTAATATTTTGTTCGGGTATTATTTTAAATCTTAACTCAACCTTACGACCTAGCAAATGACCGAACTAGAATTGGGCATATTAATATTGATAAGTCATAATTTTTTATAAATGAAAAAAAAGATTTCACAATATGTATTAAAAATAAGCTGTACCAATATAAACATATAATGATATTATATAAATCAAGGAAAAAAATATTCAACGGCTAAGATCTAAAATGACACAAAGTTATATCCTTTAAAATGATAAACTTTTTTCCATAAATCAATTAGTCTTATAATTTACTATTAAATCTAAAAAATAATATGAAATTAAACCAAATTAAAGCAACTCAAAATATTATTCAAACTTTGACTTGAAAAAATACATCGGGTTTATATTTTCTATAAACCGTAACTCATTGAACTAATTTCTTTGATTTATTTTCATAAAACCCAACCCAACCTGGCGTTATTATATCTTACCCTACACAATTTTCTGAAGAATGATTTTAATTGGTCACACTCAATTTTATATATATATATATATATATATATATATAGTTTTCTCATGTTACAAAATTTATTTCTTACAAATGTAAAAATATATTAGGCGCCTTTTTTTTTTTCTTCACATGGTTCTTGATATACATTTTTTTATGTGTTTACATAAGACATACAATTATATCATATACATCAAAAACATTGATCCTCCTATACTTACTCAGGATTTGATATTTATCGTATTATAAAAAATAAAATTATCTCTTATGAGATTTATATTTTTTTTCTTCTTTTTTTTCACATAATCCCACGTGTTATTATTATATATACATAGGAGATAATTTTATCTCCAATAACATAAAATTCATTCAATAATTAAATAGAGTAAATATCTTTTTTGGTCCCTAACAAAAAATACAGTCCCCACTTTAGTCCCTTACAAAAAAAAATTAGTCAGTTGGTCCCAAACAAATTCAAATAGACTCATTTAGTTGAAATCACGATCCCTTACAATTTTAAAAAAGACCCATATTAGTCCCTCAAAAGGACTAAAATGGGTCCACTTTGAATTTGTTAGGGACCAACTGACTAATTTTTTTTATAAGAGACTAAAGTGAGGACCGTATTTTTTATTAGGGATCTAAAAAGATATTTACTCAATTAAATATTATCTAAAAAAAAAAAGGAAAGCGTTGGAGAAAATATAAAAAATAAATAAATAAGAATATGTATATTGCGAATAATAATGCTGAGTTCCTTCATCTGCTACTGTGACTGTGAGCAATGATGCTGTTCCTGTCCCTTCCTTCTCCTCTATCCCCTAACTCTTCACCATTTTCATTTTCTCACATTCGCATTTCCTCTTCATTGCTCCCAAACCACAACAACAACAACAACAATAATGATCACCAACCCAATTCGCTTTCAATTCCCAAGGTTCATTCTGATGGCAATGTTGCCATCAAAGCCCCCACACCTCCATGGATGACGGGTCCTCTTCTTCTCCAACCCCATGACCTTCTTCACTTCTCCAACCCCAAGAGATTCAACAAGGGCCTTGATAAGCTAGAAAAACACGAACACGAACCTACTGATAACGATAAAGCTTTGACTGCTAAAGTGGTCAGAGGGAAGAAGGTCATGAAGAAAATTGTTCAAAGAGTTGAAAATCTTCACAGGACCCAGAATTCAGCTGAGACTCAAATGGGTTCTGCTAAAGTTGAAAACTTTGGGGTATGTTTGGAAAGTTTGAAGGAAAATGAGGAGGTTAGAAGTAGGGAGAGAATGCCGTGGGAGAAGGATGAGAGTGTTGTTCCTCTGAGAATGAAAAAGGAAAAGGCTTTAACAGCTGCGGATTTGACTCTTGATAAGGAGCTGCTGACAAGGTTGAGGGATGAGGCTGCAACAATGAGAATTTGGGTCAAGGTTAAGAAAGCTGGTGTTACACAAGCTGTTGTGGATGAAATTAAACGGACTTGGAGGAGAAATGAACTTGCCATGGTTAAATTTGATATCCCTTTATGCCTGAATATGGATAGAGCTCGAGAAATTGTTGAGGTTAGACTTGTCCCTATTGTTGTCCTTTTTAGTATTCTCGTGAAGGGAGTATAGATTTCATTTTAACTGTTGCTTCTTGAGTAGAATTTTGTTTTTCTTCCATGTTAAACATATATTCTAGTATTTTTTTGGCTAGTTAAACATTTGTTATTGTTTAATAGAATTTCCAACTTTTAGAAACTAAGGATTCAAAGCACACTAAATTTGCTAGTATGTTTATGGATGTTGTTGAATATTGAAAATTGATATGAGCCTGTTTGACTAATTCCTGATATCTAATATTTTAGAGTGTCTTGTTACTGCTATATAAAGCAGATATAATGCTATATGTGTATTACTTGTATGAATCTTTTTATATTAATCAAAGCGCTTTGACTTGTTGATAATTGTTACTGTTACATGTTATATATGTTTCATTATATTATCCTTCCTTGTTATCTGATGGCTACATTGGTGTTCATTTCCTGTGTGAATAGACAAAGACTGGAGGCTTGGTTGTCTGGAGTAAGAAGGATGCTCTTGTGGTTTACCGAGGATGCAATCATCAGTTGACCTCTAAAGGTTCTCCAAATATTTATACTGGCTATATTCATAGTCAAAGAAAAAATCCTTATGAAATGAATTGGGTGGAGTCAGCTACCAAAGGAGATGGTTACTGGGTTAAATTCAACCGCAGTACAAGTGAGATGCTGAGCTGGAATGCGGATCATAAGGATTCTATATCAATTGGCATCCAAGATATGAGTAGCCAACCAGTCAGCGGATCATTGTATGAGAGGGAAACTGATAGATTATTGCATGGCTTAGGACCTCGGTTCATTGATTGGTGGATGCACAAGCCACTTCCAGTAGATGCTGACTTACTTCCAGAAGTGGTTCCTGGATTTAAGCCTCCATTTAGGCTTTGTCCACCTCATGCTAGTGCAAAACTAACTGATAAATGGCTAACGTACTTGAGGAGGCTTGCTAAACCTTTACCAACTCATTTTGTCCTTGGTACCCTTCTGCTTGATGTAATCCTTCAATTTCTTTTCAGGATAAGAATGCATATTTATTCTTGGTTTTCTCTTGATGTCAATGAAATGGTGCATTTTATACAAAATATTTACCAGGATAAATCGGCTAAAAAAAAAGAAATATGTTTTCTCTTTTATCTGCTTTGGTTTTGTTTTCTGGGCTTTCTGGCCATTACTTTAATATTATTATTATTATTTTCTAGAGACCTCTTCAGCTGTTCATATCTCTTTACAATAAATTTATGGTAGCAATAAATAATATCAAGAATATAACCTTCTTCATTTTTTGTTAATGAGGATCTTCCTTTAAAGAAGAAAGCCTGGTTATAATGGGGCAACTTAGGTTTTGTTTGACTTTGTAAATTAGGAACTGTATGAGATAATATCCACTTACTGTTTATACCATAGAATGTCATTGTCATCGAAGGGAACCATTGTGACACAGGCTATTGGCAATCGAGCCCTCTCTTGTACCAGATGCACAGCAGCACACACTATAAATGTTCATATGACAGGGTCAATGAGTAGTTAATTAGAATATTTAGGTGGTTAAAGTTGTAGAGGTAGGGAATTTGCTTAAATAGGAGGAGAGGGTAGAGGATGGGCATTTTGATTTGTCATCCTTCGGGAACTGAGCACTAGCTCTGTTGTGGAAAGGAGAAACCCTTAGAAGGAGAATTCTCTCCTTAGGTCAATGTTTGTAATTCAATAAACACTGCATGAGTATTCTTTCTCTTTTCTTTTCTTTATTTTTCTCTCCTCCATCTCTAAAAAATCAGAATCCATTCTGGATTCCTAACCTTGTATTTGTAAGGTTTGCATGTCTCTGTGTCTGGGGTATATGACTATATGTGCATATCTTTTAGTTATTCATGATGTAGTATGTAACCTGTTATGTTCTTGTTAAATGCAAATAATAACATGTATATATTTGCTTTGAGTAATTTAAAATGAATTTAGGCACATGTAATCCATAATTGAACAACACTTTTTGTCTCATCAGGTATTGAATTCCATCATCCTTCTTTCCTCAAATATGGTGGAGGAATTATCATATAATAGGGATAAGCTTAGTTTTGTACACAGGTAGCTTATAAGTAGTTTATGGTCAACATTTTTTGTTGTTGTGCATAAGACATCAATCAACATTTCTTTATAAGCATGAGGAGCCATGTTTTATTTTTATGAATTATTTTATACCTAGAGACTGAATACAAAGATAGAGTATGTTCATCAAATATATTGGAAACAACTTCATATTCAGTTCTCAATAGTCAGTACAGTTGCCTCAATTTGTTTTAGTTGTTACTTATTTATCACATGACCTCATTGATACCACTTTAGAAGCACACCTGAATAAGCTGAGCTCTTGAAGCAATATTGGTCTACTACTTATGCATGGCCAAGCAGTATCTGTATCTAGTAGTAATTTCTTGAAAAATGATGAATGCAATCAATAACTTTAAATATGATAATCGCAATTGGTTGTATATTAATAATAGCTTCAGAAAAAAATGCTGAGCCGATCTAATTTTGTGCTTATCCTTGTATGTATAAGGCTAATTAATTCATTTTGTCTCTTTATTATGAAGGAAGGAACAAAGGACTTAAGGGCTTAGCTGCTGCTATCTTAAAGTTGTGGGAGAAGAGTCTTATAGCAAAAATTGCTATCAAGTATGGAGTTCCAAATACTAACAATGAAATGATGGCCAATGAACTGAAGGCAAGTTTGATAGAAAATTTGCTATTCAATGTGTATGAGATGCAAGACCCCCTAAACCTTAGGTGTAGATTTAGTTGATGATATTATGTATGTGAGGTTCTCTCTGCATGTATCATTGAATCGGATTTTATTAAATGATTGTCCTGACTCACTTTTTTGGTAAGAACTTATCACTTTGGTTTTTCTCACTTGAAAAGTAGCCTGATACAAGAATGGGTGTATAAATGATAATAGTAGTAGGGGTTCAATTTTGAGTGATCGGGAAAGATTTCAAGATGAATGCCTACAGGAAGCTAAAATCAGTTGTTGCACCAACAATATTTTTCCGTATTGACTTGTATATGTTTGCTTTATGTTTAATAGTCATCGGAAACTGGTCCACCCTTTTATAGCTTGTATGTTAGTTCTTGCACTGGTTTTGGTTTATGTATGTAGAAACAGGTGTAAATGACTTTGATTCCTAAAATGTAGTGTCTCACTGGAGGAGTTCTGTTGTTGCGCAACAAGTTTTACATAGTACTCTATAGGGGAAATGATTTCCTTCCAAGAAGAGTTGCTGCTTTGGTAGAAAAGAGAGAATTGGAGCATAGAAGTTGCCAACTTCATGAAGAAGTTGCACGGACGAGAACAATTGAAGCCTTTCCTTCTGTTGATGATTCACCGGAAGACACTAGTACTAGTGGAACTTTAACAGAATTTAGGAAAATCCAAACAAAGCTTGAGGAAATAAAAGAAGTCAATGTAGATTCAAACATTCAACTGGAGGCTGAAATATATAGACTGGAGAGGGAATTGAAAGAGGAACAGCGCAAAGCTTTCATTGTGAGATTTGATTTATTGACTTTTCCCCTTTTGCATTTGTTACATGCCAATACTCTCTTGAATTAATTGTTATGGATTCTGCAGCTTAACAAGAAAATAGAGATATCAGCAGGGAAATTATCAAAATTAAATGCTGCATGGACACCTGCTGAGCATGAGACAGACCTGGAAATAATGACAGATGAGGAGAGAGAATGTTTCCGAAAGATAGGATTGAAGATGAGAAGTTGCTTAGTGCTTGGTAAAGAAATTCCACTTCAATTTAGTTGGCTTTATGGACTCTCTATCTGTGTCTCTGTATGATTTGTTTTTTATTTGTTGTTGTTGTTTGTTTTAGCTGTAATTGTTGAGATTATAAAACCATTAATGAAACCTCACCCAACAGCTTAAGCTTTTGGGTTGAATTGGTTCTTTACATGGTATCAGAGCCTCATGTCCCAGGTTCAATTCTCATCGCCCCCCACTTTCTTGCTAGTGGAATTTCTTTCTTCGCACAGGTAGGTGGGCCTGTGCATTGTCCACTCTTCAAGCCCAGTGGGCTCTCGTGTGAGGGGGCGTGTTGAGATATATAAAACCATTAATGAAACCTCATCCAACAGCTTAAGCTTTTGGATTGAATTGGTTCTTTACTGTAATCAAATGCTTTGTTGCTGAGTGATTGAATATCATGGCTATAAGAGAGTTTCGTTTAGTTAAATAGCCTGTACATTGACAAAGTTTTTTTTAGGTAGTTTCTTTGTCTATGTTAACTATAAACAATCACTTGGATAATAAATTATATTTCAGAATCGGATAACCAATAGTGTTGGTAGTTGGTCGCAATAGAAGTGGATTGCAACCTCAGGTGAACCTTACCTACAATGTCAAGGGTTCAAATCCTGGAGTAACCGCTTTGGGGAAGGCTTTAAATAATCACAAGCCTCGGCCCATGAGCAATTGATCATACCAAAATAAATTATATTTCATATACATTTTACTGATTTTTATATAAATGTCAATGTTATTATAAATTGAATATTGCTTAATGTACATGTGACATAAGCAAAGTTACCAAAATAATAAAGTAATAGATCAATAATTAATACTCCGGATGTATCTTTTTTGGAATGAATCAACTTTGCAATTTTTGTATAATACATGCTTTATGATAAATAAATAAATAAATCATAACCCTGATGTAAAGAGCCTTCTAATTAAGGACAATTTATGTATTGAATTCGAAAAGCAAAAAGGTTAAGACAGATGAAACTTAGGTATAGGAACCAAAGTAGTATTTTAGCTGAGTGAATTTATTATCTCCACAAATAAATCCCACGTTGCTAGTAGGACCCTCTCCAACAGAATAGTTGCTTTTAATTCTCTTTTGTTTGATTGAAGGGAGAGAGAATGTAGTTTACTTTAGAAACATAAGAGTGGATGTACATATTAGTACACTGATTTTAGTGGGCTTAAGGGCAACAAGAAGGATTTCTCCATATTACTAATATTTCCCAAATGCTGCTATTATATATAAGTACTCACTTATGACTCTTAGCTGGAAAAGCTTCTTTAAACTTTTTCCTCCCTTATCAATGCAGGCAGGCGTGGAGTCTTTGATGGTGTATTGGAAGGCTTACATCAACATTGGAAACACAGAGAAGTAGTGAAGGTCATTACGATGCAGAGACGATTCAGTCAGGTCATCCACACTGCAAAATTTCTGGAGGCAGAGAGTGGTGGAGTTATAGTTTCGGTTGATAAACTAAAAGAGGGCCATGCTATTATTATTTACCGTGGAAAAAACTATAGGCGACCTTCAAACAAAATATCAAAAAATCTCCTGACCAAAAGAAAAGCATTGCGTAGATCTCTTGAAATGCAAAGAATTGGAGTAAGTGTGTGCTTTCTTTTGCATCCATAGTTCTCCTATTTTTCTTGGGAAATACATATCCTTTTCCTTTATATGTATTTTTCGTTGATTACATTTCATTTCCTATTCAGAACTGATTTGCTTACTGTTGTTTCAGTCACTGAAGTTTTTTGCTCATCAGAGACAGCAGACAATATCTGATTTGAAGCTGAAACTGGTAAATCCCAATAATGTGTGGTTGAAGTTGGCATTCGTGCATAACAATATTAACAATTGACAAATCTGTCTTTTCATTTGACCAGAAAACTTAGACTTCTATATGATAACTTTATTTGTTGAACTGTATAACTGGGATTCTTTTTGCAATTTTAGGCAAGCTTGCAGCAGAGAAAGGAAGTTGAGCTGAGAGAATTTGAAAATTAATGCATGCATGTCTAAGACATGTATCATGCTGCAACTGCTTTTATGTTGTCTGCTCATTGACCCGTAGACAAGATATGACATATGAGAAATTCAACAGGCATCGGCAAGCAAAATATACATATTTTTCGGGTAAGATTTTCACATATATTTATTGTATAAAATTTCTTGTGTGAGCTCAGTTGTCCAAATGATTATTTACTTCCTATACCAGAAAATTAATCACATGTCAACCATTGACTATGACTTTTTTCATGAGCTTATTATTAAAGGAGGTGAGGGAAATTAATACTTGTAGTTCCTATTCTTCACTTTCTGGATCAAAAGATACGCTGACCATAGGTCCTCAAGAAGGAAAAGTTTTATGCCGTTTGATCTCCTATCAATCCTATTTAAAACATCAAAACAAGGGTGAGGAACCTTGACCTGCTTCATTAATCATGGCTTTTGTCTAGAATTTGCCGGTGCCTTGTTTGATGTCCTTTCACACCATATGCCGGTACAGTAGTAACTCTATCAAGCTGTACACTTGATCTTCCCTCCTCTTTCTCCTTTTACAGGAAAAAGATTTTTGAAAACTTTTATGTTCACCGTGGATCTACTTTTGATTTTTGATTTTTGAAACTGACAATGATGATGTGATATTTTCTTGTGTAATTTAGCAAAGATCAATTAAAATCTTTGGATGAAAATTTTGGTCCTAAACAATATTTTCTTTTTTACTATCATCATTCTGGAATTCATTCTATTATGTAACAACTGGCAATGTAGATGAATCTGTATTGTTAATTATAGAACTAAAGCATTCATCGTTGGTGGTACAAGACTTTCCAATAACAGCACCATTTCTCTGTCCAGCCACTTAAAAAAGCATCACAACATTACTAGATTTGTTGGATTTGTAAGACACACTCCCAAAGCTGCGACCGAAAACTTAAAGGAGTAATATATTACTCCCTGCCGATTTTAAAGATTAAAGATCCTGTACATTAAATAGTGAATCGAAGGCCCAAAGAAAACTCTCAGATCTACAAAGGCATTATTAGTTCCTCGCAATTTACCTGACTACATGTATATTACAGGTTTTGAAGTTTGACAAAAAGGACATGCAAAGGGTGCTCAAGAACCATTAACGAAAGTTACATCACATTCACATTTACCTTTTTGTCTTAGGAGGAAACATTTGATTCGATGAACCCATCCTTTGATGTAGTCATTGAATTTGTCCCAGAAGATATATCTGAAATTTGTAAGGGTGGCCTTTGAGGAGAAATCAAGCCAGGCTTTGGAGGAAATGGCACTAAGTCAAGTGGTCCTTCTAACATCTCTACTACTTTACTCATTGATGGCCTATTTGATGGATATGGTTGAATGCACCATAGACTCACCAAAGTAATCTTCCTTACCATATCTTTTTCTTCTTCTGAGATGGCCAAACAACTTGCAGGAATATTGCCTTGCTCAAGATCCTTATAAATCCAGTCTGGAAAGTACATTTCACTGGCTTGTGACCCTCCACTCTCATAATTCTTTCTTCCTCCAATCATTTCAATAACCAACATGCCATAACTGTATACATCAGATTTGTGAGAAACTCCTCCATATAGTCGGCTAAATACTTCTGGGGCAATGTACCCTATAGTTCCTCTTGTGCCTGATAAGGGCACAATACTGTCCTTCTTTTGGCATAATTTAGCTAGTCCAAAATCAGAAATTTTTGGGCAAAAATCTTCATCCAAGAGGATATTTTGGGGTTTGATATCAAGATGCAGAATCCTTGCACTGCATCCTCGATGCAAGTATTCTAGTCCTCGAGCAATGCCAATTGCAATTTGGTGCAACGTGTTCCAGTCCAAATTACAAATAGCATTTGGAGAATCACTTTTGTAGATGAACTTGTCCAATGAGCCATTGGGCATCAATTCATAGATTAGTGCTCTTTTATTCATCTCAGAACAAAAACCCAAAAGTGAGACAATGTTCACATGAGATGTTCTGCTAATGCTAGCAACTTCATTTATGAACTCTTCTCCATTTCCCTTGGACTCACTTATTACTTTCACTGCCACATGACGGCCATCAGGTAAGCTTGCTTTGTACACAACACCATATCCTCCTTGGCCTAATTTATCACGGAATGAATTTGTGATCCTTTTCACTTCCGAATAACTGTATCGCTTTGGCGCCAAAAAATCATGACTTTCTAAGAAATCCTCAACATTGTGGTCAAGAAATTTTCTCCTCTTTTCCACTATACTAATAAACCCAATACATGTTACAACTCCAGCAATAGATGCACCTTTATGTTTGCAAAGAAGTGAAGTGAAGAACAGTGAAAAACAATAATTTAGACCTTTAGAATAAAACGAAAAAGGTAACAAGAATTTTACAATGCTGAACATTACCTAGTCCAACAGCTAGATTGCTCCACTTGCTTTTACCTGAAGCCTTCCCTGAAAAATAAATAAATATGAAAACATGGAATCAGATAAGGATAGAAAAGAGATGTTAAACAATGTAGTCAGCAAGCCTCATTTTCTTCCTTTAACCGAATGTGTGAACTTGTAACTTTCACATTACTGCAAATTAAGTTACAGGAGAAAGTGATAACCAGTAAATCTCCTTAAAATATACAAAATAAAAGTGGACCAGCTAATAATACATCATCAGTTGCCCACTGGAAAAATATTTTACTTTTTGTTTGGGGCTTCGCCCCTTAATGTTATCAAAAAAAAAAAAAAAATATTTTACTTCCCCCCCGAGTTAAACAGAAGCTGTTAAGGTGGTTTTGAGAAAACAACGTAGGAAATGGTCAATAGGAGAACTAGGCAGTGTGTCCCAAAAGTCAAACAATAGTACCAGGAACTTTGTTCTGTTGCAAGACCCGGTCTTCTTCAGTTGCTAATTCAGAATTGGAGGGAAGAATCAATAACGGTTAAGTAGCATGGCTAAGTCATATCAACCCCATTGACAAGCCAAGTGACCTGCACTAAAATAATATAACACACCAATTTTGTTCCGTAGAAGTGTTCATCTCTCCCTCCCTTGGCTTGCAGTGATGAAGGTTAAAATTATCTATCATGGCAAATTTAAAGATCAGATATTCCACCTTCTTCTCTTACCATGTTAGCAAAACAGTTGTTTTTAACTTGTTATAATTATATATAATACGGCTTCTTCAATCACAAAGAAGCCATGTTTAGTGTTTATTACCAATAAAAAAAGGACTCAGAGAAGGAAATCAACAACCATGCCTGCATATATTATATGTACCTGAGTCTGAACAGGAAGTTTTATGAGGTCCATCCTTGCAGAAACATTTGAATTCTCCTTCATCATTACCACACTCCCCTTGAGAACTCAAGCATGTGTCGCACTCATAATTATTATTCTCGATCCATTGCAACCTGAAACCTTCATCTAATAGTATCTGAATTGAACTGGGGTCATAAGCAGCTATAGCGTCAGACACGGGAACAATAATCATCTTGCAAACTCCCAAGTAGGCAAACTGGGGAGCATAATAGAGAGTTTCATCAAGGCAGGTTCGAACAACACCTGAACTTGGTGGAACAGTGTTGCAATCGTATAACAGCGACACTTCAACAACCTCATCATCATATTTAATAAACACAGAGGGATCAAAGGTGCTGTTGTTCATGTAGTCATTTGAACAAGATGTAGAGGGTGAGTCAGTATCATTCCAGAAAACGTCCCTCGCGAGAGTGAGATTCTGTGAAGCCAAGTCCAAAGCAAGAATCCTGTATGTGACATAATTGATGGTGATCTTGGGGACAATGTTGTCGCATGTGAGCTCATAGTGAGGCTCACCACAATACTGTGGTCTCTCTCCACCCCAAAAAGGGTACCTGAGGTTTGCAGGGATGGTGTCTCCGCAGTTAAAAGTTTTAGTGCAGTTTGTATACTTGCTATCATCATTCGCACCAAGAGATGTTGGAATATTGAATGATATGATGAAAGTGAGCAACAATATGAAAATGGAAGATTGGTGAAGAAGAAGAAGAGGTTTCATTCTTAGTAGAAAAGAAGGTGGAGGAGGAGAAGTGATGATAAGAAAAATGTGGAACAGAGAGGAAAAGGAAGATATAGACTGAAATATGAATAAAATGCGCGTTCATGTTTCACTTTCAGTGCATGCAAATTTCCACTGGGATGTTTCTAGGAAGCCTGAGTCTAACAGCAAATTTCCATTTAGAGTGGACCTTCGTTGACCACCCATACTTAGTCTCTTAAATCTTAATACAAATTTTATAACTAGCACGAATATATTTTTAAATCACTTAAAAGTTTTAGTGCTTTATATTTTATGCAACAACAATAATTTTGTTGGATTCTAATTGACAAGACAAATTGGAGAAGCTAGAAATGGTCAATGTGTTAGTGGCATAATGAAATAAAAAATGTAATTCCTAAACATTAATTTTTCACTCTTAATCTATCCCTTCTTCTTTTTTTATGGAAAAAAAAAAGAGGAAAAAAGAATAAAAAAGAAATGTGTAGAATGGGAATAAATATATAGCATAGAAGAGGGTAAGATTATTGTAGTCTGACCCACAAACAAAAAGCTCAGGCTAAGTTTGGTACAAGTTTTATTTTGGATTTGATGAAGAAGTGTGGGTGGGTATTGAAAAATACCATGTTTGGTTCAAGTTTTAAAAAAAATACACTAGGCAAATAGGATGGCTGGGAAACGATTTTGGTGTTGATTTTTGAATGAAATTCACAGTTACAAAATACTACTTGAGATGTGGTATTTTGAGATAATTAGGGAAGTGGAAAAACAGTGCGAAGTTCCTCCCGAACATAGACTTTGCAAATTTAAATAAATTTTTTCGGTAATATTTCCGTCAACCAAATATCTTTTTTTAAATTTTTTCATCAAACTGATTTTCCTATCATTTCCTCGGTAATTATATTTTTCTTATAAAAACAATTTCTCCTCCACTGGCCTTGCAAGTAGTCCACCAAGGGGATTCTCAATGGATGTTCATATGGGTTGGCCTCCAAAACCTGGTACCTGAAGCTGCATGTGGACGAGTGGACGGTTTTCTCACAACATCTACTGGGTACTGTGGACGAACCCTGTAAAAGCCCACCTACACAAAGGTGATAAATCTTAAAGGGTAAATATCTTTTTTGGTCCCTGGTAATATCTACGAAATTCTTTTTAGTCCCTGACAATAAAAAAGGACCACGTTAGTGACGGAGGAGTTGACATAAGGACTAATGTGGCCCTTTTTTCATAATTTTAGGGACCAATTTAGTCCTTTTTTATTGTCAGTGACTAAAAAGGATTTCGTAGATATTGTCAGGGACCAAAAATGGTGTTTACTCAATCTTAAATGAAATTCCATGAATCTAATGTCATCAAAGATATAGTGGACCGGGTCCTTGGCCAAAAGTAGAAAAAAAGTAGGACATAGATGAAAATAAGCAAAATGACAAGGATAAAAATATCATACAAATTTTTCAATTTAGGAAAAAGGAACACCTAATAATAGTGTCCCGGGATTACAATAACTTTTCTCCTAATATGTTAAATAAAAAAAATTTCACACAGAGAATTTTTTTTTTATTATGATAATTTACAGGTATGTGAAGGAACAAATCTTTGGTACTCCCATAATACCATACATCTTTCTAAAAAGGATAAAAAAATTAGGATTTAGATGGAAAAAAGATAAAGGTATGGATTTAAATGAGGATGAATATTTCTCTTTTCTTAAAAGAGAAATAAAGAATACGGTACTCCCAAATAAAAATTTTATGTGAAGAAAGAACATGTCACACTTAAGCTGTGAAAGTGATATATGACAAGAGAAAAGTCTCATACCAATCTCTATTTAATCTTTTTTCGGAAATCAATGAACCTACTTAAAAGGAGTACCTTGTAATTGCCATTCATTTTCTTACATTCTTCATTAATCAATTTGTCTAACTTGACTAATTGATAGAATGTACAACGCACGTCATGACATGACTACGCCCACAAAATACAATGTAACACATGCTAGCATGTATATATGCAGTACAAACTTCTATTCCATGAACTTGTAACAATTATTAGTACAGACCTTTTTATTTTATTTTTATTTTTTACAATTGGTAAATGTAAATGTTTTCTAATAAATTCACATTTGACATGTGCATTAGCCATTAGTCATGAGTAAGAGAATAATTCCATGATATTATATTGTTCTTTCTTTTGCCTCGTGTTTTTATTCTGAACTATGATAAAGACTTAAAATTCTAAAATTTGTTACGAAAGAAACATCTTGCTTTGGTCAAATGTATTTAGAGCAGCCAGAATTTTTTTGGTTGTCTTTTGCCTTTTCTATAATTAGTAAGTCCAGAACGGAAAGAGATTCCTCGTAAGAATTTCACATCAATTGCATCTTATTTCCAACAATAACAATAGATAAAGGAAACTGAAAGCAATAAATGAAACAGAGATTTAATGTGGAAAAACCTCAAACAAATTAAATGAAAAAAACACATGCTCTTGTAGAAAAAATTTACTATGGGAACTAAAACTACAAGGGACATGATATACTTACAACCAAAATTTTTTATCACTTTTACAACCAACCTAAACACCGTTGTTTTTCGTCAATATAACGGTTATAATTTAATGAGAATTCATAATTAATTAATTAATAAATGCAACCAATAATTTTCAATAAATTATAACCGTTAGATTGACGAAAACTAACGGTGATTAAATTGGTTGTAAAGATGATAAACTTTTTTGGTGATTAGTATATCTTTCCCCAAACTACCATATCCCTTTAATTATAAAGAAAGAACAATTTTATCCCGTCTTAAATTAAAAGAACTCTTCCCAAAATTTATTCAAGAAATATATATAAAGAAATAGAAGAAGATTTGGTGTAATATACAAAGGTTGGAGAGAGGCTTTATTTATATTATAGCCCCCTCACCTAGGGGTGGCAAAACAGGTCAGCTCGCCCCACCCCGCCCCGACCCGCTCCCAACCCGTCAAAAGTGGGTTGGCCCGCCCCGCCCCGTATCTTGAATTTGGGTTGAAAACCCCAACCCGTCTCGTTTTATGGTGGGTTGGCGGGTCAACCCGTTTAAAAAATAAAAAATAAAAAATAAATTATATTTTATTAATATTATAATATATATCACATTCCCCTTAGTTTTTTTTAATCTTAAATCTAAATGTATGCTAATATTTAGTTAGATATTCTTTACAAACTTGTTTTTATATCCATACATAAATTATCTTTGTAATAAATAAAGTTTTTCTTCTATATTTTTTCTAGAGAGTACTAAGATAACAAAAAATTGGATATCACAAAAGCTTAAAAACAAATAAAACATTACCTAATAGTAAAAAAAAAAAAAATTGACCCGAAAGGCCAACCCGCCCCGACCCGCCGCCAATCCGTTTTGACCCACAACCCAACGAGGCGGGTTGATGGGTTGAAATATGTAACCCGACCCGCCCCGTTTTAACGGGTTGACCCATCGGGTTTAATCCATATTGTCACCCCTGACCTCACCCAAAGTCTTAAACTATACCCACTCATGTGGGATTATAGTTCTAACAATCTCCCACTTGGAGAAATGATGAAAACCAATCAATCTCGACGCAATTCTTTCCATCTTGACATCTCCATGTTTTCTACGTTTTTGCAAGGTCAAATGAAGATTTGCACCATACAAATTTGTTAATATTGATTGGTTTTATTAGTGCATCCGCTAGGTTCTCTTTTGTGTGGATCTTTCGCATATTCATGTTTCTATCTTCTACCACTTCACAAATAAAATGATATTGCGTGCTTTGTCCTGAAATGAAAGACTAAATTTCTTGCCATGTGCAAGGCACTTTGGGTTTTTAAAAGTTTAAGCTTATTAAGCAAAGATAGAAAATCTTTTAAAGCTATTTTAAACATGCATTGATCAATTAGTTGAAAAAGCTTTTATAAAGTGTCATGTATCAATTTTTTCAAAAATCTAAACTGTTAAGAAAGCACGTAAATGTTTGATCAAAACTTTTAATAAACCCAATAGAACTTTGATAATCTTTTGATATTGTAAGATATATATGACATTTAAATAGTGACAATCTTTGATATTTAATATTGAACCAGGAAATTTTGATTTCTTTAAAATAAATATTTAAGTTTGTTCGAGCTAGGTTTAACTTGTCTCAAATCCAATTTAATATTTAGTTCGGGCATTATTCTAATTCTTAACACAACCTTATTATGACCTAGCAAATGATCGAACTAGAACTAGGCATATTAACTAAATGATAGTAGCTGATGAGTTGACATTAAGGAACTGAGCAGCAGGTCAAGATGAGAGCATACGTTCGATACTCTCCAATATCGTCTTCGAAAAATGTTTAAAGCCTTAATTTCGAGACGTACCCCGAGTCGGACTAACAGTGAAGGGATGAACCAATTGAAATATCTCAAAAAAAAAAAACTAGACATAATAATATTGCTAAGTCATAATTTTAAAAAATGAAAAAATATATTTTATAATATGTATTAAAAATAAGTTATATCAATATAAAAATATAATGTATTATGTAAAATAAATATTATATAAATCAATTAGTCTTATAATTTACTATTAATTCTAAAAATAATAATAAATTAAACCAAATCAACGCAACTCAAAATAATATTCAAACTTTGACTTGAAAAATACAAGGGGTTTATATTTTCTATAAACCATAACTCATTGGACTAATTTCTTTTATTTATTTTTTCATAAAACCCAACCGAACCTCGCCTTATTATACCTTACCCTACACAATTTTCTTAAAAATAATTTTAATTGGTCAAACTCAATATATATTTATATATGATTTATTATTTGTCATATCATATGAAATAAACTTATGTCATGTCATCTAAAAACTATATTGTTTAGGGAGATAAAAAAAATTGATGAAGGTTGTTTCCAAAAAGAATAAATATTATTGAAGGTTATTTTATTTGGATGAATTTTATCAAAGCACCATTTATTAATTCCTTTAACTCGCAAAATGACGTAATTTTGTGATAATATATATATAGGATAAAACTAATCTTATGTTGCATAAGATAATGTACCTTATGTTGTGAAACAAAATCAAGGTGGGACCCACTAAAAAATAAAAAGAAAAAAAATCAAGATGAGATCATCTTAATTTTGTTTCACAACATGAGGTACACTATCTTATGCAACATAAGATTAGTTTTACCTATATATATAGGCTTTAACGTTTCTACAATGAATGTAGATAAGTTATCTACATTCGTTTCCAAAACGACGTCGTTTTGAGTTGAAAAATTAAAAAATTATAATGAAAAAGACTATTATAACCTTGAAATAAATTATAATTACAAAAATACATTGATTTCTGCCTCAAAACGACGTCGTTTTGGTCTCAATGTAAATAAGTTATTTACATTGACGGTAGAAAAAACGAACTCATATATATATATATATATATATATATATATATATATATATATATATATATATATATATAAGTTATCATTTCTCAAGTTGTTTGACATCCAGTTAGGAGTCATAACCATATATAAGTGGATAAACTATTAAATGTAGGGAATAAATGAGAATCAATGATTAAGATTACTAGCGAAACATTCAACAATTTAAGAAATATTTTTGCCATATATATATCAGAAAAATATTTCTGCAGTTAATGCAGATAAGTTATCTGTGTTTACTCCCAAAACAATATTGTTTTGAATTGAAAGATTAAAAAATTATAATTATAAAGACTATAATGACCCTGAAATAAATTAAAATTATAAAAACACTATAATTTTCATCTCAAAACAACGTCGTATTAGGCTTACTGCAGATATATTTATAAAATATAATTATATCTCTAATACATATAAAAATATGTTAAACCGATTTTTTCTCTCTTCCTATGGCCTCACATGAAACCTATACACTTTTTATATGTATCACATCAGAAACATCAATCCCATTATATCTACTTTTTATCTAAGAAAATATAAAAGGAAAGCGTTGGAGAAAATAAAATAAAAAAATAAATAAGAATATGTATATGGTGAATAATAATGTTGAGTTCCTTCATCTGCTACTGTGAGCAATGTTGCTGTTCCTTTCCCTTCCTTCTCCTCTATCCCCTAACTCTTCACCGTTTTCATTTTCTCACATTCGCATTTCTTCTTCATTGCTCCCAAACCACAACAACAACAACAAAGATACCAACCCAATTCCCAAGGTCCATTCTGATGGCAATGTTGCCATCAAAGCCCCCACACCTCCATGGATGAAGGGTCCTATTCTTCTCCAACTCCATGACCTTCTTCACTTCTCCAACCCCAAGAGATTCAACAAGGGCCTTGATAAGGTAGAAAAACACGAACACGAACACGAACCTACTGATAATGATAAAGCTAAAGTGGTCAGAGGGAAGAAGGTCATGAAGAAAATTGTTCAAATAGTTGAAAAGCTTCACAGGACCCAGAATTTAGCTGAGACTCAAATGGGTTCTGCTAAAGTTGAAAACTTTGGGGGATGTTTGGAAAGTTTGAAGGAAAATGAGGAGGTTAGAAGTAGGGAGAGAATGCCGTGGGAGAAGGATGAGAGTGTTGTTTCTCTGAGGATGAAAAAGGAAAAGGCTTTTATAGCTGCGGATTTGACGCTTGATAAGGTGCTGCTGAGAAGGTTGAGGGATGAGGCTGCAACAATGAGAAATTGGGTTAAGGTTAAGAAAGCTGGTTTTACACAAGTTGTTGTGGATGAAATTAAACGGACTTGGGAGAAAAAAAATGAACTTGCAATGGTTAAATTTGATATCCCTTTATGCCTGAATATGGATAGAGCTCGAGAAATTATTGAGGTTAGACTTGTCCCTATTGTTGTCATTTTTAGTATTCTCGTGAAGGAAGTATAGATTTTATTTTAACTGTTGCTTCTTGAAGTAGAATTTTGTTTTTCTTCCATGTTAAACATATACTCTAGTATTTTTTGGCTAGTTAAACATTTGTTATGGTTTAATAGAATTTCCAACTTTAAAAACTAAGTATTCAAAGCACACTGATTTTGCTAGTATGTTTATGGATGTTGTTGAATATTGAAAATTGATATGAGCCTGTTTGACTAATTACTGGCATCTAATATTTTAGAGTGTCTTGTTACTGCTATCTAAAGCAGATATACTGCAATATGTGTATTAGTTGTATGAATCTTCTTATGTTAACCAAAGCGCTTTGACTTGTAGATAATTGTTACTGTTACATTTTATATACGTTTCATTATATTATCCTTCCATGTTATCTGATGGCTACATTGGTGTTCATTTGCTGAGTGAATAGACAAAGACTGGAGGCTTGGTTGTCTGGAGTAAGAAGGATGCTATTGTGGTTTACCCAGAATGCAATCATCAGTTGACCTCTAAAGGTTCTCCAGAGATTTATACTGGCTATATTCATAGTCAAAGAAACCATCTCCACAAATAAAACCAACATTAACATTTGTAGGTCTGTTTTAGTTCCTTTAATAGGATCCATCAATAGGAGAACAAACGTGGTATGTTGTTAGTTCCTTTAACATAAAAGAAAAATTAATAGCATCAATTATTCCATTTTAAGCTGATTTCAAAGATTAAAGATCCATTACATTAAAGATTAAAGACCCGAAGAAAAATCAGAGATCTACAAAGGCATTAGTTCCTCGCAATTTACCTTCTACATGTATATTATAGGTTTTGAAGTGTTTGACAAAAAGTCATGCTAAGTTTGTTGAAGAACCATTAACGTAAGTTACATGACATTCGCATTTACCTTTTTGTCTTTGATGAAGTCATTTCATTCGATGGACCCATCATTTTGCGTGGTTATTGAATTTGTCCCTTGCATATTGCTGGAAGATATATCCAAAATTTGTAAGGGTGGCCATTCAGGAGAATACAAGACAGGCTTTGGAGGATATGGCACTGAGTCAAGTGGACCTTCTAACATCTCTACTACTTTACTCATTGATGGCCTATTTGATGGATTTGGTTGAATGCACCATAGACTCACCAAAGTAATCTTCATTATCATATCATTTTCTTCGGCTGAGATGGCCAAACAACTTGCAGGAATATTGCCTTGCTCAAGATCCTTGTAAATCCAGTCGGGAAAGTACATTTCACTGGTTTGTGACCCTCCACTCTCATAATTCTTTCTTCCTCCAATCATTTCAAGAACCAACATGCCATAACTGTATACATCAGATTTGTGAGAAACTCCACCATACATTCGGTTAAATACTTCTGGTGCAATGTATCCTATAGTTCCTCTTGTGCCCGATAAGGGCACGATACTCTCCTTCTTTTGGCATAATTTAGCTAGTCCGAAATCAGAGATTTTTGGGCAAAAATCTTCATCCAAGAGGATATTTTGGGGTTTGATATCAAGATGCAGAATCCTGGCACTACATCCTCGATGCAAGTATTCCAGTCCTCGAGCAATGCCGATTGCAATTTGGTGCAATGTGTTCCAGTCCAAATTACAAATAGCATTTGGAGATTCACTTTTATAGATGAACTTGTCCAATGAGCCATTGGGCATCAATTCATAGATTAGTGCTCTTTTATTCATCTCAGAACAAAAACCCAAAAGTGAGACAATGTTCACATGAGATGTTCTGCTAATGCTGGCAACTTCATTTATGAACTCTTCTCCATTTCCCTTGGACTCACTTATTACTTTCACTGCCACATGACGGCCATCAGGTAAGCTTGCTTTGTAAAATCATCTAGCACACCAATTTTGTTCCATAGAACGTGTTCATCTCTACCTCCCTTTGCTTGCAGTGATAAAGGTTAAAATAATCCATCAAGACAATTCAGAGATCAGATATTCGACCTTCTTCTCTTGCCTTGTTAGCAAAACAGTTGTTGTTATAATTATATATAATACGGCTTCTAATTCAATCACAAAGAAACCACATTTAGTAGTGTTTACTACCAGTAAAAAAAGAAAAAGGACTCAGAGAAATCAACAACCATGAGTGCATATATTATATATACCTGAGTCTGTACACGAATTTGTTCCATCATTGCAAAAACATTTGAATTGATCCCCATCAGAACCACACTCCCCTTGAGAACTCAAGCATGTGCTGCACTCATTATTATTATCGATCCATTGCAACGCGAAACCTGCATCTAATACTGCCTGATTTGTATTGGAATTTACAGATGATAGAGCTTGCACCTGTTCTTTAAACATGGGAACAGTAACGCTGCTGCAAACTCCCAAGTACGAAAACTGTGGAGCGTAGTAGAGTATATCGTTATTGCAGGTTCGAACCATACCCGGATTTGTTGGAACAACAGTACCGCAATCATATAACAGCGACGCGTGAACAACCCCATCAGCGTATTTAAACACAGAGGGATCAAAGGTACTGTTGTTCTTGTAATCATTTGAACAAGATATTGTAGATGGTGAATCAGTATCATAATTTCGGAAAACGTCCCTCGCGAGAGTGAGATTCCATGAAGCCAAGTCCAAAGCAAGAATCCGGTATGTGACAGAACTGATGTTGATCTTGGGATGTTGGAAATCGACAATCACACAGAATCGAGGAAACAGAACAAGAGATAAGAGTAGAGAGATTGACACGATGATTTACCTGGTTCACCCAATATAGGCTACGTCCAGCTTGTCTGTACTATATTCACCTCACCGCCACTCGTTACAAGTCTCTCGGTTTACAGGGCAAATATAAATAGGATTACAAAAAAACCCTAACAGCACTATTCATGGGTCCAAGCCCAAACTGCTAAGAAAATTACAATAGAAACAGAGGCCTAAACATTACCTAGCCTCTACGGGCCTGGGGGAGCTGCCCCCGGACCCCGCCGGGGCGGCTCCCCCGGACCCCCGCCCGCTCACCTGGGAGCGGGACCCCAGTTGCCTTTCTGCTGACCCCGACAATTAGGGCCAACATCATCATGTGAAGTATGAGCCATACCCAACAGGGTACAGTGTTGTTGTCGCATGTGAGCTCAAAGTTAGGCTCACCACAATATTGTGGTCTCTCTCCTCCCCAGAAAGGGTACCCAAGGTTAACATTTGGAGGGATGGTGTCTCCGCAACTAAAAGTTTTATTGCAGTTTGTATACCTGCTATCATCATCCGCATGAAGTGATGTTGGAATATTGAATGATATGATGAAAGTGATGAGCAACAATATGAAAATGGAAGATTGGTGAAGAAGAAGAAGAGGTTTCATTCTTGCAACGGAAGAAAAAAATAAGCAAAAGACAAGTGTGGGAGAAGAATGGGGTGCAAGGTTGAACCGATTTGTAGAAGATTATATTGGGAATTGAGTAACCAATTTCCACAGGGATGTTTCTAGGAAAAGTATGCTTCTAAAAAAGTTGCCCTTCGTTGACCTGACCACTCTTAAGTCTCTTGAAAAATTGAATAGGAGGTAATTAACACCAGGTATTAACTTCATTATTTTTCTATTTTTTACATCTATTTAAAATTTGGGGTGTGTATTCATCATTTAACATGACCACAAAAAGTTTTCTACACACACAATATTTTGTGAAACCCGCATGTTTTGAAGAACAAAAAAAAAAAAATTACGGCATGCAAAACGAATCTCTATAACATAATACAAACATTTTTCTTACAACATAACTCTTATAAAACTCTTAAAATTTTATAGCTACCGCAAACATATTTATTAGAGAAATATAATATAAAATTATTAATGAATTTTCATTTAATTTTCTAGTTAAGTTATTGGATTGAATCATTGAATTGATTCTTTATAATATTTTAAAATCACTTAAAAGTTTTAGTGCTTAATGTTAACATTATATTATTATGTAACAACAATAATTTTGTTAGATTCTAACTTAATAAGACAAATTGGAGAAGCATGTATTAATTGCTCAATGAAATAAAAATATATAATTCCTAAACATTAATTTTTCGCTCTTATTCTATATCTATATTTGTGTAGGATTAATTAGGACTCTGGACATCGGTATGTATTTTAAAAAAAAAATAAACAGAAAAAAAAATATTAAACATAAATATGTAGAATGGGAATAAATATATAACATAGAAGAGGGTAAGATTATTGTAGTCTGACTCTGACCCATAAACAAAGAGCTCAGTGTCAAGGCTGGCCTTGCAAGTAGTCTACCAAGGGGATTCTCAACGGATGCTCATCTGGGTTGGCCTCCAAAACCTTGTACCTGAAGCTGCATATGGACGATTGGAGGAACCCTGTAAAAGACCACTTACACAGAGGAGATAAATCTAAAATTGCATCAATCTAATATGTTAAATAAAAAAAACATTTCACACAAAGAAAAAAAATTGTCTTTTTTTTGGGTTACGATAATTTACAAGTACGTACATTCAAGCTGTGAAAATTTTATATATGACACGAGAAAAGTCTTGTACCAATCCTATATGATCTTTTCTTGGAAACCATGAACCTGCTTAAAAGAATACCTTTCAATTGAAAAAAAAAATTTAATGATTGTAATTTAAATAAAAAAAAATATGAAAATATAACTATTTGACAATATTCATGAAAGTATTGCAACCAGTTGCGCATTTGAGGCAACTTAATGCCTGTTGCAGTGTTGCGTATATTTTGATGTGCGTCTTCAGCCATCTTCATCCATTTTGGGATATAAATGCATGCATTATGACAAGTTTAATAAATTTTATATAATCTCTTATCCATTATTTATTGAAATAATGAGTCACGTTTATTTACTATTGTTGGATAATAAGAAATAAGAATAAGAATTAAATAACATCATTTATAGAAATAAAATATGTCAAACGAATACAAGGAAGCATTTTTTTTGAATTTTTTTTTTGATTAAATCCCTTTTGGGGTATGCTAGTTGTTATAATTGGTTTAGCTTAACTCATTAATGATGATCTCTTGTCATGGCCATGGGCTTCCTCTAGCCTGCGTGACAGTAGTAACACAGTCGTATTGAGTTCGAACTAGTCAAGTGTTTGGTTAGAGGTGAATTGAGTACTTGGACCTACAATACTCAGAGATGCTTCCGTTGAGAGGGAGCATACTAATGTGGGATTTCACACTTAAGAGAGATATTGTTGAGATATTCATATGTGATAATCTCACATTGGTTGGTAATGAGCTAATTAAGTGAAGTTCATATAAGTGAGAGAACCCATAAACTCAATATTTTAAGGTTTTGAGTTGAGAAATAATATCAGTTCCATTTGCTACTATTGGTGTAGTAGTTTAACCCATTAATGATGATCAGTGCCATGAGCTTCCTTGACCTACCGAAGAGCTCGTTTGTTTGGGTTTTTACAAAAAGTAACTTTTATCTCTTCCTTATTTTAGAAGTGTTTTTTATGAAAGTTAAAGCTATTTATTTTTATAAAAATATTTAGTTTTTGAAAAAAAATTGACTTTTGACCTTTGATTTTTTTAGAAGCTAAAATTTTTAGATTCTAAAAAAAGCAGATTTTTGATTTTTTGTGAATTTTACTTTTTTTAAAAGCAGATATCCAACGAACTTAAAGTGAGAAGTACTTTTATTTTTTCGAAAAAAAAAAGCGGCTTTTGGAGCACATCCAAACGGGGTATAAGAGGATAATTTTAAAGCATGGACTTGGCCTTGCTAGTAAGATGGAGGATTTTCTTTAGCTTTCTTATGGTTTATAAGTTAGAAACTTAAAGAGGTTGCCTGTCACTTTTCTGTGTAGTTTTTGTTCTTTCACTTTGCCCCTTCCCTTCACTAAACACAAATTTTTTTATCAAAACACTAAATATCCTTAATAGTTGACTCACTCGACATCTTTCATTCATAATAACTTCTTAAATGGTGGGGTCGGCAAATCGTAAATGTATTATTTCATTAGAAAATTGAAGCCACCTGCGCAATATACTTTGTCAGGGTGATGGAGATCTAAACAAAGATTTCCTTAATTTGGGCTTTTCTGGTTAGAAAACTTTATGATACAAAGGCAACAAAAACACAAAATGATATAAAATATAATAATAAAAATAAATATCCATTACTTGTCTTGATTTTCGTTAAATACTTTTCTTCATGCAGTTTTTCAAGAAGTACTGCCCTCCACATATATGTTTTGTTAGCTATAGGAAGTGCAAGATGATTTAATAAATCAAACTCTGATGTCGGTAATTAACAATCATAGGAGGTGGGAACTAGTAACGGGCAATCAATAAGACAGTCCCAGGTATTCGAACTGTGATGGGTTTCGTCAAAGTATTAGGTAAAAAGTAATCATAAGTTGTAACAACCAGAAAGAAGGCGAGATTTATCTCAAATGGAAACATTGTTTCAAATTTCAATACCAATTAATTATTCTTATCATTCTTCAGTTTTGTCAATCAATTAAGCTACATTTTCGGTTACAATTATAATTGTGAGACTATTACTTATGTCGAGAGTGATGGTTAGATAAAGCCCTATCTATAGTGTTATATATTTGATAGAATTTATAACGCACGTCATGACATGACTACACCCATAAAATACAATGTAATACATGCTAGCATGTATATACACAGTACAAATTTCTATTCCGTAAATTTGTAACAATAGTATAGACCCTTTTTTTTGTTTTTTACAATTGGTAAATGTAAATGTTTTCTATTAAATTCACATATGCGATGTGCATTAGCCATTAGTCATGAGTAAGAGAGCTATTCAATGATGATATTATATTGTTCTTTCTTTTGCCTCGTGTTTTTATTCTGAACTATGATAAAGACTTAAAACTCTAAAATTTGTTACGAAAAAAACATCGATTGTCATTTGCCTTTTCTATCTAGTCCAGCAGGGAAAGAGATTCCTACTAACGTGTCCAAAAGGATTTCACATCGATTGTAGACTTGAAGTTGAAGGCAAAGCGATATACCAATTTCCATGTTTCTCTTTTTGCAAATAAAATAATTCAATAGACACACACAACTGTTAGATTTTAAATTAAATTATAGTCTTTTATAAGAAGGGTCACATTTTAAATTAAATTAAAAAGTTACAATTAAAATCATTAACAGACAAGTTCGGCATAAATCAAACTGTTAAGTCTGTTACTCATATTTGACTTGATAAAATTGTTGAAAACTCGAGAGAATTTAATGTTATTTATTGAGGAGTTATTCTTTTATTAAGAAAGGCCGACATATTATAATGTAAGGCACAGAAATCCCAGTTTAAGTTTATAAAAAAAAAGTATACTTATAACTTTTTTTTTAAAACATCTTACAATCATATCTTAACATCGTTGATTTTCGTCAATCAACAGTTATTATTTATTGTGAATTAATAATTAATTAATGAGTTTAATTTGTGAAAATTATGATCGTTGATTGGCGAAAATCAACAGTATTAAGATATGATTGTAAGAGGTTGTAAAACAAAAAAGTTGTAAGTACAATCTTCCTATCTATTTATATAGTTTACTACTATAAACTGAAAGACTTTTATACTTCATTATATATTTAAAAATAGTAATTTGTATCTCTCAATTAATTGACAATACCTGGAAGTAAGAGATCGTTTGTATTGACTTTTGAAGAAAGTCTTTTTTATCACTTCTTCCTTATTTTAAAAGTACTTTCTATAAAAGTTACAGCTATTTAAATTTTTTTAAAAATATTTGATTTTTGAAAAAAATATTTGACTTCTGACTTCTGCTTTTTGTAAAAGCTAAAAATTTTAACTTTCGAAAAAAGTAAATTTTTGGCTTTTTTTTTATGACTTCTGCTTTTTTAAAAGTAGACATCTAAACAGACTTTTTTCGAGAAGTGCTTTTTTTTCTTAAAAAAAATAGCTTTTGAAAAAAAAAATCCATCCAAACGAGCTCTAAGTATCTGGGTGGATCCAATTCTTCTGTAAGATCATAATTATGATGTTTAAATTTGTCTTGTATCCCGAAAGAAAAAACATTGTCTTGTACCCCCCAAAAAGTGTATATAATAGAAAAGCTTATTAGAGAGAAGGTATCTCAATGATGCACGTGGTGGGCCTGTGAAGATACTTAAACGGATATTACAGAACACAACAGCAACAACAATGCACCCTTCTGACGTGACTTCAACAAGACAATACAAAAATGGCTGAACATTTTGGTCATATAGACAATTAGATTCCTTGAAGGCTTGAACAGATATTGCTAAACTCTCTCTCTTGGCAAGTATAAGATTGTTATTTTTCCTTTGGTCGTGAATCTAACTTTGTCCCTGTTCAACAAAGACAATGATAAACTACCAATTAAAAATAAACACAATGATAATTAGGCACGCCTATTCTATTCCCTTTTGAAGACCTTTGCTTGCCACTTTCTCAAGTCTCAGATCTCAAATCTGTAGCTAGCATCATTTTTTGCCAACATTGTGCTCAACATCATTACTTAAGAACCCGATAATTGAGTATAAAGTTTCTAAAAGTACACCAGTTACAGAACCCACGTTACGCATTGAATCAACATACGTACATCGGGGGCTACCATATCAAGAGTTTAAGCATACATAAGTACAAAAGAATATTCTATAGTTCCGTGACTTCGATACCAATGTAACGTATTATTACCCTTTTAAGTAGTGCAAAAAGAACCAAACAGTGGTAGCTCAGTTGGTGCATGAGAGCTAAGCAGGTGGGGGTGAGGGCATGTGTTTGAACCTCTCCAGTACCACCTTTGGGAAGGGTTTAAAGCCTTAATCCTGGACCCACCCCGAATCGGACTAATCGCGAAGCGATGAACCGATGGAATATTTTCAAAAAAAAAAAAAATGAAATGAAAAATGAAAAACTATATTAAAATCTTGATGTATTAGGATAACCTTATTATTTTCCAGTTTCACATTATCTATCAATACCCAAATAAAGCAATGATTAAGTGTGACAAAGTATCTCTAGATCTCGCATGATAGGACAAAAATAGAAGAACTTAGATAATAAGAAGACATCTCTGAACAGAAACACAAGGAAACTGCAAATAGAGACAGACTTCTAAAAAAACATCATGGTTATCTCACACCCACTTATGTCTCATCCCTGTCCCTCTTTGATCCACACCACAATCTAATTAAAAACACAAAACACCATTATTTTACATTTTATATTTACCAATTATTTCATTAATAATTCTCAGTGCATTTTCTTCTCTTCACAAAACAAATAACCCAATTCCATCGCCATACTAAAAACAATCATCAAAACGTACAAAATTCACAAAACGACGTCGCATCATAACGTATATCACTGTTCCGTCATACTCGCAACGCGCCAAACGTTAGTTACGTTACCTCTCTACCAGAAATGCTGAAACGCACACCGCGCACGTTAGCGTCCATGACATAAAATTATTATTGTTATTTGTTATTGTTATTATTATTATTATTATTTCTCCAAAAGTGAAAATAATAAATAAATAAAACAAAAGAAAAAAAATTAGGAACTTAACTCATCCGTACAGTTATCACAGCAGAGAGAAACTACTACTCAGGGATGGTGACCAGTACCGGTCGCCAAGCTCTTCTCAGTAACCGGTACCGGAACGCCGACGATATCGGCCGGAGAGAGGTGGCGGCGCTGCGACGGAACGGAGATCCTGTCCGGAACCGGACGCCGATGGTGGAGGCAGGGAAGAGTTCTTCTTGCTGATCCTGCCGTTGCTGTTGATGTTCTTGGAAGCTCTTGTCGTCTTGCGGCGGCGGCGGCGGAGAGGAGACGAAGAGGTCCTTGAGTTTGTGGCGGACTCGTACCTCGTTGTCGGCGATTTCGGGCGGATCTTGGGGAGGGGGATGGAAACGGCGGCGGTCGAGGGGGCGAGCGAGGAACATGCGGAGGGTCCTGCGGCGGCGGAGGTGGATGACGGGGCTGGTGGTAGGGCTGCGGGTGGGGCTGCCGGCGACGGCGCATTGTGTGGCTAAGAGCTTGAATTTGTGGAGAGTAGGCATTATTATGTGTGCATTTAGAAAAATGGAAACAGGAATAGGAAAATGAATTGGGATTCTTTGTTTTGTTTTGTTTGTAGAGAGAGAAAGTGAGATCTAATTCCAATTCCAGAGAGAGAGAGAGAGAATGATTGGATTGAGTAAGGAAGGGACTTTATCGGGGGAATATATAAAAGGTGTCTTTTTTCTAACCATGCCACTTAATTTATACAAGCTGAGAGGCCATTTACTCTTATATCTCTATATTTTTTTTATTTGTTTAAATTTACTCTTATGTATGAATTTGCAATTTGAAAAACGATATATATAAAAAATTAATGTATTTTAATTTTTATTTACGAAAAAAATATATATTAAAAGATTAGAATTTTCGATGACGTCTAATAAATAAACATTGTATTCAATGAATATATCACCAAAATTGAACTTGAGAAGGTTATTTTAATTTATAAAAGTATTAACTTTTAAAATAAAGTAAAAAAAATGAAATATATAAATGTATTAAAATAATCCCTTAAATTTAAAAATACTGGATAAAAAAAATGCAAGGAAGAGAGTTGATAATTTATTTTTTCTTTAACAAATGTTAGAATGATAAAGGATTATATATATATATATATTAATAACTAAATATTAAACCAAAATTTCTGCCAAAAAAATTAAATAAACAGTATAAGTGAAAAATTATACTTTTATTTAATAATATAGTTAACATCATTTAATAAATTTAATAACGAAACTTTAGAGGATTTAGAATGAAAAAGAAACTAGGTATTTATAATATCTCTTACCATGAGATTTAATTAATTGCATGTAATTAGACAATTAATCTTGTATTAGTGGGTAAAATTAAATTAAGGCCTAATTATATAAATTAGGGTCACTTTGGAGGTAAAAAAGTGCTGTGAGTGAAAATTATGAGGTAAAAATGGATGTAGGCAAAAGTATCCAAAATATGAAACTAAAATTAAAAATGTTCCTAGAAAAATATTTCTGACCATTGGATAAAGTTTGAAAGAGAACAGAGTTAAATTGATAGATAAGTTATTACCCGATTGAATTGAACTTTACTATGTTAAGTTGGAAAAAACCAAGAAAAAGCCTTATTTCTTCATCTCCTTCGTCGACCAAAAACAGAGGAAGGGGAGGGAGAAACCATTTTGGAGAACAAAACCCTAACCACTCCATTTCTTAACCAAATCCAACAACTCCAAAGCTAAAATCACTTGGAATCTTTTTCTCATTGTGAATCCAAGCTTGGTTTGGAGTGGGAAGCTTTGTGGATGGAGATATCTCATTCCCAAGAATTCGACCTACATGGTGTTTAGAGGAGTTTTGAGGTATTTCCTTCTATGGGAGCTTAAGAGATCAACATTCCTTAGTTGTGTGACCTTTTGTGGTAAGTTTCCACTCCTTAAACTTTGTTTTCATGGAGATTGTAAGATGGAGGAAGATGATGAATAATGTCATTGTGGGTGGTAGAGTTGGGTTTGATTTAAGCTTAACCCCTTTGTAAAAGTTGTTAGAAATGATGAATAAACGGTAGAAATGAGTTTAGATAGTCATTTGGTTAATGTCCAATATATTGGAAAATTCATGCTTGAGCTTGTGAGTGTTCTAGCATTTTGAGCAATTAGTGAGTTGGGTGATTGATTGTGTCCCTTGTGTTACTATGATTGAGGCAAGTGGACCAACTTTGAGTGACCACACATTGGAGCAAGCTATGGAGCTTGATTAGCTCATTTGGATAGGTAAGTTCATGCCAAGATGTGGTGTGAAATTGTTGCTTTGTTGAATGTTGATATTCATTAACTTGTAGGTGTGTATTTTGCAAAGTTGTAGCTTGAATTCAAAGATTGATTGGTTGCAAACTTGTTGGTGAACAAAGGTTGAATTGGAGCATTGAGGTAAGCCTTCGGACCTTGGGTGTAAATCTCTTTATTGTTCCACCAAACCCTGAATGGATAATGGTCGTTGATAGTGTATGTAAATGCAATAAAGTAGTTTAATGCTTTGTTATACGTATGTGTATGCTTTGGGTGTGGCATAAGATGGTGTTTCCCTATGTTTGTATGTTGCATGACGATGCGTAAATCATACTTTGTAGATTATCTAATCAGTAGGACTATTTGCATCTGAGTATCCCTAGGACAACAAGAGCTCGAGGGATGTCTCCTGGAGATGTTTTACACACTGTATGGATATGTATTTCTGTATTATTTACAGTTATTGCTATTATATTGTGAAGTGAACTATAGGGTGGAGAGATGCTCCAAGGACCCCTGGTTTACTGAGATGTATTCGTACATCTCACTCCGTGTTGTGGGAACCACCTTTCAGGTACAGATGCTGCAGGAGCCTCTGGTGGCAAGTGGTCGTATTTGGACTAAATGGTCTTATGTTGATAGCCTGTCATTTTGGATTGCATCTCATATAGGATTTTAGATGTATATGTCATTTACATTGCCACATGTATATGTTTATTTTGAAGACACATGATGTATTTTGGGGGACTTAGTGCATGATCATTGTGGTGGTGAATGCCTTGTTGTATATGGCTAATAGCTTTGATCATGTTCATTTTGTAGCTAAGTCCTTTGTCATGTATATGAAAGTTGGAAGAAAATTGATGTAATTGAGACTTTAACATATTTATGAATATGTAGTTATGTTTTTCATTTTGATTTGCATAATGAATTGGTAAAGTGTTTATGGGATGTAGGTGCCACATGGTGTGTGACCATGGTTGGCCTTTCCTTGTCAATTAGGTGCGGTAACCCTTGAAGAATAAAAGGAGAATGAAGTTTCCCCAAGAAACTCACCAAAAACAGGGGAGACCAAGTTTGTCACAGGTGTTAGGCGCTCAAGCGCTGATTTGGGCGCTCAAGCGCGCTATATGCGTGAAATATAGTGAAATTCACTGGCTCTGGGCGCTCAAGCGCGCTAGTGCGTGCCCAAGCGCGTTGAAAAACATGAAGATGGCAGAATTCGCTGTCGTTGGGCGCTCGAGCGCCTAGTTTAGTGCTCGAGCGCGAATCCCGAAAATAGCACCAACCTAGTTTACTAAAATTGGCATACTCGAGCTACAGACCTCTGATTTGAGCGCGATTTGAACCCACACGAAGCTAGCGGAGAGATGTATAACATAGTGTGAGATGAGAACTATAAAGGAAGTATATAATTCCCAATTTGATAAAAAGTGAAGATAGTTTAGCATTGAACTTGAACGGAATAAGAATATGATGTTAAGCTTAGTTTTGATTATTCCGTAATGTAATAAGGTTATGGTCACTCAATTAGTTATTTTAAACTCGGTGTTGTTAAATAGAAAAAATAAGTAAGTTTTAAAAAAAAAATGAAAAATTTATCCGGATTTTTAATTGAACCAATGTGATTGTAACTGTGCTTAAAATCATAAAGCAATGATAACAAATCGATTTTAGAACGAGGTGTTACAGTATTAAAGAGTAACTGACTCGTTGACTTTGTAGCTTGATTCACCCTAAAATACAGATAAATCATCCAACATGTGGAAAATGGAAAAGACTATTAGTGGGCAAGACCTTGAAGTTTCGATCAACTTTGCCAAGCCTCCGAAGGAAGATACGTATCAACCAATTCATTCTAGATGCTATGAGCCTATAAGTCTAACATATTAACCTACAACTTAAAAAAAAAAAGTGTGACATTTACAAAATTTTAAGGTCGATTTGGTTACCTAGGGTGCAATTATTCCTTACTTCTCTAATCTTCTAGGGAAGGAGCCTAAGATTTTTTTTTTTTTTTTGTAACTGGAAGGAGCCTAAGATTTAAGAATGATAATTGGTTATCATTTTAAGACTTTAGTAATAAGATCCACAACAGGGTGGATAAAACTAGTTTTGGGTAGAATTTTGCGACTTCAACTTCATATGCGTTTATGGGTGATATGACAAAATTTTGAATTTTGAATTCTTTATTAGGAATGAAACCGCAGATTAATACAACACGTATTTTGGCACATGGCGTCACAGATCAATTCACAGGACTTCTATTTGCACATATTTTATAAAGTTTTATAACTCTTACTATTACATTAACGAAAAAGTATTTTTCCAAATGACTGGAGATAAAGTTATTTTCAGTGAGCTCAAAACAATGTTATTTTTTGGTTATAAAATTAAAAAATTATAATGACATAGACTAATATAACCCTGCAATATATTACAATTACAAAAACACCTTGATTTATGCCCCAAAACGACGTCGTTTTGAGCTCTGGAGATAACTTTATCTCCAGTGACGGGAGAAATCCTTTACCCTTACATTAATTATCGCTGATTTTCGTCAATCTAATTATTATAATTTATTAAAAATTAATAATTAATTAATAAATTTACCCAATAAATTATAATAATTAAATTGATCAAAATCAGTGATGATTAGTTTAGTAATAAGAGTTGTAAAACTTTTCAGTAAGAGTAAATATCATTTTTGGTCCTCAACCAATTTCACGATGTCCGCTTTAGTCCCTAGCAAATAAAAAGGCTATTCGTGGTTTCTAAGAAATTCAAAATGGACCCATTTAGTTGAAATCGTGGTCCCTCATAAATTCAATAAAGAATCACATTAGTCCCTCAAGAGGACTTAAAAGGAAGCAACTCGACTGATATAATTTAATAGATGTATTTTATTATTAAGAAAGAATGAATTAATTAATTATATCTTTATAATAATTTTTCATCCAAAATGTTTAGCTAATTTTACAATATTTCAGTAATTTGAAATTTTTTTATTTTTATACCGGTTACATTATTTTAACATTTTAATGCTATTGTTCCTAAATTCTCAGCATATATATGTTATACAACAATAACACTCAATAAGAATCAAAAGATAAACATAAATAGGGTAATAATATTCCTTTCATAAAAAAACAAACGTGTATAATTTACGAAACAATTAAAATTATGAATCTCAAAGTTTAAAACATGTTATGCGTGTAGCTTGCACAGCGAAGCTTTTTCAATGTACGGAGGGGAAGCAAAAAGTAATTATGATTCTCTCTATCAATTGTTAGAATAAATTTTGGTGCTACTCTAGCACGAAAGATTCAGTACATTCCACTAATAGAAATATTACATGTCAGTAAAAGTTCTTTTTTCTCTGTCAAATTTT